GTAATTGTTTCGCAGTCCGATGAAAACCACTCTAGGCGATTTTTTGGATCTCATGATTGACAGTTACCCATGCAGAAATAGTCAAATATACTAAATAGCACGTCTTATTTTCTATTGATTGTACCTGTTCCACGTTTTTGAAGACGAAGTCTGTTAAGAACCTTCGGGAAGGCAGGGTGCTGGAAAAGATCGGAAGCTCAATGTTAGCCATAATTTTCCGAGCAATTCCATCAAATTCTAGCCTCCCTTATCAGGCGCTCTTATATTTTAACACTTATTTTATGATGATTTACGAAAAGAATTTTATGAAAAGATTGATTTCTTTARTAATAACCAATCAGATTATTCAACATGTACATTTGATTTATTTCACTCAAATAACGAAAACACGATCCAATACTTTTCTAAATTTATTTACAAATGTTTTAAGCTTCGTCAAGAAGAACTTTCTAAAAACAAACAGTAATTTTCTCACATTGGAATAGCATTTAAAACAATGCAATAAGTTAGTTTCAAAATATAATTACATATATATATCATATATCCTCTACATATGATTTTAACGGAATCAAAGACGCATGACGCATATATCCTCTATATACAGCCTTTTGCAAAAATTATGAGAATTGTCTAAATATCTAAATATCATAATATCCATATCCATATATTGTCCGGAACACGAGGGTTTGCTAGAATAATTCATTGTTGACATCGAGAAAATGTTCAGAACTACGGATAAGTCTGTCGCCAAAAAAAACTAAACTACAAAGACAAGGGACTAAGGGCATCGCGCGAGATTACCCATCATACACTCGATATTATGATATTTAGATATTTCAACAATTCTCATAATTTTTGCAAAAGGCTGTACATTATCTTTATATCAACATATTAATATGCACGACAATCAACAGAACGTTCCTTTTGCAATGCAGTAATTAGCACCAGCGATTGAATGTTGTACGCTAGTAGTAAACATGTTGTACCTTGGTTCTTATCATGTACTCTGACTACATGTTAAGAACGGGTTCTACCAATATATGCTACATTACAGCACGGGTGCTGAATTACGCAGCTCGACGCGCTCTCAAGTCGAAGTGCTATATTACAGACACCTTTTACATACACTTACACATAGGCGTGCTGCCGGCTAGGCGCTTCCTTCACATAGCAACGTCGACTGAACGCCTGTGTAGGCTAAGTAAAAATAATCTCTCCCCGATTATTTGGGAGGGGTGAGAAACGGATGTACACAGGCTAGCTTATACTGAGGGAGAAAAAAAACGAAAGGAGACCCGGAAAAAAGCCTCGAAGCAAGGGAGAAAACGAAAGAAACTCAAATCACATATGGCGTTCCGACCGAGATTCGAACAGGGTCCACAGAGGTGACAGGACATCGCTCTCATCGCTCGGCTACCCTAGCTTCCATGTTGTACCCGGACATGTTATTCCAAACTCTGTCATGCATGCCCTACCTTTCCTAGCAAAGGCAGTTTGATGTGGACGCCTGCTCTAAGTCCTGTGCCAAGGTTGCTAGGGCACGTCAAGATGTATCCAAGGTGTTCGTTCCACATGTATTGTTGGCCTTTATTCTTCATCAACCCTTCAACCTGAAAAAAAAATCAGCATTATTCCATCGTTATCTTTTGTGTCTATAACATCTAGTCAATGGCTTACTTGGTTAATTCCTCTGCAGAATCTGTCAAACACTTC